CAAAATGTTGTTAAACTCTTTGGATATTGCCGGAAAAAAAATAAGGAGTTTCTTCTTGTTTATGAATATATGCAAAAAGGAAGCTTAGATATGCATATCTTGAGGGGTAAGTATCTAAATCTACACAGAAAAATATGGAAAAAAAAGTTGTTTCTATTAAATTTATAAATAAATATTATTTATTTTTCAAATTGGAAATTGCTGAAGGTGCAAAACCACTTCCATGGGAGACGAGGATTAAAATAGCCATGGGAGCAGCTCAAGGCCTTGCTTTTTTGCACGCCAATAATGTCATTCACAGGGATGTGAAACCGTCAAATATTTTGTTAGACGAGGCAAGTAAAAACTAATCATATTTATTTTAACATGCGACTGTGATTAGCATTTTGATGTTTTGCGGGCTTAGTATTTTTAGTTCAAATCTTTATAATATCAATATTTTATATACTGAATTACGTTTCAGGAGTTTAATGCAAAACTCTCGGATTTAGGAGTGGCGAAGTCCGGTCCGGTCAATGGAGAGTCTCATATCACAACACGCGTAGTAGGCACCATCGGTTTCTTAGCTCCTGAGTATATATTCACCGGTTAGTTCTCTAATCTCCTTGTACAAGCATGGATGCTAGCACAACTTCTTTGTTAATTTTAGGGCCTAAATCAATTAGGCCTCGTTTGTTTTTCTACAAAAGTACTTTTTAAGCATTTTTCCCTTCTGGCGGGTAGACATTTCTCAAGTGCATGTCTTATTCTGCAAACATGAAAAAAGACAATTAACCACTTCAAAGACAGGCAACGCCTTAGTGTCTCTTAATCTTAGGAGTTACATTGACTAGGGTTTCTTCATTTTTATATCTAGTGTTTCTGTTTCTTGGCACAACGCCTTAATTAACTCAACTAGGATTGTATTGCTCTTCTCATTCAGATAATCTTTAATCGTTATTTGAAATGTTTAATGAATTTTGTTAAACTAAAAAACCAAAATATTCATAGTGAGATAATATGATATCGACTATTGAGTGAAAATAAAACACCAACTGAGAATTACCTGAAATTAATAATCGAGTCTAGTAACTAAGCAAATTCTGTAACATACGTAGCCTATAGTTTAACTGGACATGTCTGTAAAATGGTCTATCCCTAAGCTTAGACTAACTAGGATTTCTAAGACATCAATAACAAAGGTTGTGAATAGTGATGCAACTGGAGGTCATTTATATGTGGCGAGTTATGTTTGTGGTTCTAGAGTGTTAAATCTCTATAAACTGACCATTTTGGTCTTAGCAAATAATAGACCACCAAATTTGGTCAACTAACTTTAAATATTATGTATTTAAGTTTGTTTAATTGCATAATAACATTTTGAGTGTAGTATTTGTTACTTGTAATATTACGTTATAAAAATTAAATTGATATTTTTATTTTGGATTTATTTTTATGTTTTGAACTTATTTGAATATCTTGCACTTTTTTTAATACTTTGAAACACAATAACAATTTTAAATTTACTACTACTAATACTATAAATTAAACGGATAATAACTTGGTACTTTTTACGTTTCTATCTTATAAAAAAGAACAAAAAAACACTCTATTTGTATGTGGAATATTTCCTCTAAATGCTTATCTGATATTCATTTAAATGTATACTTTGTTTGTTTCAATAATATGATAAATAATTCGGAATTAATTATAGAGGAATAGTTAGTTTAGGTTATAGTTTCTAATAGTAAAAGGTACAAAACTATTATCATAAAAAAGATGCGAATCAAATTTGGAGATGGTTTAAGACATGTATAACAAAGATTGTGATTCAACTACAGGTCATTTATATATCAAGAGTGATGTTTTTGGGTTTGGAGTAGTGATGATAGAGTTGATTACAGGGTTACGTATATATGATTTATATTCTGCTTCCGTGCCTTCTTGGCTAACACGGTTGGAACGAGAGTCTTTGGAAACTGGTTCGGTGGGTTGGTTTGGAGAAGCATTCATCGATATGAATAATCTACAACAAATCATGGATCCACGGTTGGAACAAGTTTATCCCTTAAACGGCGCACTGAAATTAGCGAAACTCATCCTAAATTGTGTTGAATTGGAACCAATTCGACGCCCTTCAATGGAGGAAGTGGTGGCACGTTTAAAAGAAATCAACTCGATAAAATAGAAATACATTAAAGTCCAAGACAGGTCACTTCACAGGCCTATTTGAATGTATAAATGGAAGAAGCTTATGGTTTATGTTTTGATTGTCATATCAATTTTCATTCATATATTTTCTATGTTTTTATTTTTATTAAATGTAGATGACTACACTTAGTGTTAAGTTATGCAATTTTATATGTATGATGTATGGGCCGGAGTACAAGTTTGATCATCAAACTGGTATTAAAGTTGAGGTGAATGTTTTAGATTTGCATAAAACCATCCCCTCAAAAAGATAATTCTACTATTGATCCTCAGACCAGATTGATCTTCTAACACCAACATGACCAGCTATGAAGAAAGTGCATTGCTATTTTTAATATTTAGGTTCATCTTACATTAAAAAGTAACTAGTTATTTCTATCATTTAGGCTTTTTTTTTATTAACTTTACTCGTTTTGATTGAATACCTATGTTAAGCAGAAGTTCAAATGGTAAGTAAACTTTCATAAGATTGGTACTTAGTACATTCACTAAATACATCGATGTATAGATAGATTTGTCCGTTCATGGATCGTTTTTAATAATATATAGCAAGTATGATGGAGAGACAAATGCATTTGAAAGTTCCATTATTCCAACAGATAAAGAAAGCAACATGTTGATGTTGGGGAAGGGATTGTATTGTGTCAACTATTGGTGATTTGTAAGCCCTTGATAAAACAATATCCGTATGATGAACTCTCACCTACAACAATCATCAGAAATAGGTTATATGAAATTCATCAATATCAAAGAACACCAAAAGAACAATGAAATAGTACTTTTTAAGTAGAAAAAACCAATTAACTCACAAATTTCTCTTATTCTGATAAAATCTCATAAGAGGTTATCTGAAAAGAAATGTTTACCATGGAGGAGAGATTTGAAGTGGAAGTAGATTCTGTAAGCTCTGTTTCCAGATTGTCAATCGCACGTACCCTTGGAAACCAAGAATAAAAGCTTCAGCTTAATTCCAACATATGAAACTTTGATAGACTTTTTAGGCGATAAAACAATTTTTAAAATATGGACAATATGTCAACCTGCAGATACCAAGAGCTTTCCTCATATCTCCAGATGAGGCTGCAACTTTTTGCTAATCAATATTCAAGTTGTGTCAGTCTTATAATATATATATATATATATATATATATATATATATATATATATATATATATATATATATATATATATATATATATATATATATATATATATGGAAAATAATCAAATGAGAACACCTAAAAGGTTGAACGCGAGAACAAGTATATGCATTTGTGATTCCATGTATTCATTTGTGGAAAATTGATAAATTTTTACGCACAATCAACATGAATATGCTTTTTCTCTTCGGTTGAAATTAAAGGCGTAAAAGTTTATCATTTCTCCACAAATGAATACATGGAATCATAAATAAATATACTTTGTTTTCGCGTTCTCAACCTTTTTGGTGTTCTCATTTTATCCTACTCCTATATATATATATATATATATATATATATATATATATATATATATATATATATATATATATATATATATATATATATATATATATATATATATATATATATATATATATATATATATATATAAGTTCTCAATAAAAGGAATAGTAAACTTACCATTTTTTTGGCAGAATTGGTCCCTGCACTTTGCTCCTTATTTTTTACTTATTTTGATACTTTTGGTCCTTGCAATCAATATTTTTACACTTTTTAGGAACCTTTTAATATTTAAAGTGTGGCCACAAAACTTTAACGGTTTGACAACTTTGATTCCTTTTCTAAAAATTTGCTATATCCTACCCCTTTAACTCTTTAGCCGTTTTGACACTTTTGATCCTTGCAGTCAAAACTTTTATATTTTTTCATAAAAACTTGAAAAAAACGGTCCGGGGCAAAACACGAGCTTTTCATTCTTGCACTTTCTACGTCTGTTATATTTATCGATTCGGAAACAACATTGAAAGTTTTTGCCCCCGTGTAGCGGGGGTAACCTTTCTAGTTTGACATTAAAATTAAAAGGAAAATAGATAATACTATGGTGTAGAATTTACTCACTCTTGCACAGAGTTTCAATGCTTGTGGCTGGAAACAGTGTAAGCAAGTGCCTAATGGAACAAAACATGCATCAACAGAGTCTGGTATTCCAACCATGTTTCTTAAATGGTCTAAGATGGTGGAACATTAAGCAATTCTAGAACCTGCCTAGGTGGGGGACGAGTTCTAGAATGGATTAATGGATTTCCTTGAGCATTAAGGAAGCCTAAGAGTCCTTAGGGAGCAAGGTGTTATGCACCCACTCTAGTCACCTTATTTTAGAGAAGGAGTAGTTTGGGGTAATCATTAAATAAAGAGCATCTTGTGGTGCAGGGGCATTATGGGTATTTTATATTATTTAGTTGTTATGACTGATAGTATAAGAGGGTAGTGGGATAGGAAGTGAGACATCCATCTTTTCTGTTAAACCTGGAATGATTTCCTCTTGGGAGAGTAGTTATCTCGAATCAGCTAACCTATACTTCATTCTTGTAATCTTTTGGGTATTATACAGTTTTTCCAATAAATATTAAAATCATTTGGGTGGTTTTTATGTTATTGAATATGTTATTACAAATTAATTCATAACAAATGGTATCAGAGCATTCATGGATTAGGGTTGGAGATAAAGGAAGGAAGGAGGCTGGAGGAGCTCAACTCAAGAGGGTTGAGTTGCTAGAGAAAGAATTAGGGAATGTGTATGATCGAATGGAGAATCCAGGGCATCTGATCCAACATACTGCTGACTCCATAGCGTCTCTTTAGTTGAAGATGGAGCAGAAGTTCGAAGAGGTTTTGAAGGCAATAGCCAAGAGCCACCCAGAAGAACCTAATGGAAAGAAATCAGTGGGAGAAGAGCACAGCAGCGACCCTGTTTTTTCATGGGTGGAGACAATGAAAGGGACAAACCCTACGAGATTCAGTGGAGGTTCAAGAAATGGAACAGGAGGTGGTTCCGACGGCGGAGGCGGTGACCATACAATCGGAGGCGAATACAACGGAGGAACCAACTGGAGAATCAAGAAGCTGGAGATACCACTATTTAATGGAAATAATTCAAATGGTTGGGCTCTTGAGGCAGAGAGAAGATTTGTAGATTATCAATTATCAGAAGAAGAAAAACTAGAGGTTGCGGTAGTGGCACTTGAGGGCTACGCTGCTCTCTGGTATGACGAAGAACACTATCGTCGACCCATTAGAGATTGGGAAGAACTAAAATTCCTAATCATCCGACAATTTGGATCCTCAACGTTCGCAGCAGAGTCATGGTGGTCGGACTACCATGGTGCAAGGCAGTCAGAGCACCAATGGAGTCTCAGGGAGATAACAGATCTGTTTGATGATGGACGGGATAATAGATGAGAAGAAGCGTTCTTAGGGTTTTGCAAAAATGGGCCTAAAATGGACAATTGGGCTGAAACTAACACCTTGGGATCATATAAGCCGAATTAGGAAAAGAACTTGTTAAAAGGTAACAGTTTAAAATCCAGCCCAATCTTTATTAAATCAATTAATCATGAAGAGAAATTAAACCCACCACCTGAGATTGAATCAAAGATTACCACATCAATCCCACAATCTACAACCTTGGCACCTTTTCTCACATACGGAACACCCTTATCGATGCTCAATTCAAACTTGGAGTTTCTGTTGAATCAAACACAAAACACAGGGCAATTAGGATCATTCCAATCGGAAATCAATTTCATTGTTTCTCCCAAGATCAATCATGTGCCCGTAAATGTCCAACCTGTTGGTTATATTACTACTAAAGAAAAATCTGAAGGCCTAGGAAAGAAAGCTGATATCACATCTGATAAGAAACATGTTGTTGATGGTTATCCCAACAAGAACCTTGGATATGTGAAACAATCAGTGGGACATAGAATAAAGATTTGGCGGCCACCTGATAAAATGCATTGCGAAGGTGCTATTTCATCTTATAATCCTATAGACAAGCAGCATAAGGTATTATATGTTGATGGTGATGATGAAGTGCTGAATTTATGTTTTGAAAAATGGAGTATACTTGATAAGTCATTACCCCAGGAAGATAAGGTTTTAGAATTACCAAGCCCCATTACCACATCTAGCAAGCATCTTAAGCAAAAGGTTAAAAGAAAGGTAGAATCCTCACCAAAGCAAGAAGACAACTCAAATTCACCAAAAAAATTCTCATCAGAAACAAAACCCACAAAAGAAGATAACATAAAAGACATGAGCGGGACTTCATAACAACTCAAGCAAGCTGAAGGTGTAACGGTCAACTTTGATGTAGACAAGCTAGAGGTTGTTGGAGATGATTCAGATACCAATACTTCCCTTCTTTTTGAATACTTTAGGAGTAAAAGGTTAAAGAACCGAGTCAATTGGGTATTACTCAAAGATGGGATTGGGTACCTAAACAAGTCCCTTGTCTCAAAATCGGGGCAGCATTTTGATGGGAATCCAAAAGGATGGATATTGTTTGATAATTTTATGGAAAATATTGTTTTTGGTATGAAAATCTTGACTCCTGCATGTCCCTATTATGTTATCCACATTTGTGCCGCTGCTGCGGGAGGGTGATCTGCAGCTGCACTTATGCAGGCTACCGGGAGCTGTTTATGTGTTTGCTTGGCTTCACAGAGGAGGAAGTGTGTAGTGCAAGATGGTTCTCAAGGAACCAAACCTTGTAGGACCCTGTACATGTTCTTTAAGTCCGGTGAGAGAACAAAAGTTGTAAGGAAGATGATTCTAACTGTCATGCCCGAGCAAGGTATATCATCCCAAAACCTATTATTGCCTTATCAAAGGTCCGAATTTGAGGGCACTTCCTGAGCAATGTAGGGACAACCAGTGACAATCTGTTCTTCATACCCGCCATTCCAAGAATTTCTATCAAAAAGTGGTGAAGTAACAAGTTTGAAATATGAAAATAATGACATTTATTACATTACTTTGGAAGGAAAGAAGGTTGTGGAAAACTCTAGGCCCCTCGAGAAGGTGAAGAAGGAAGGGCATGAGGGTCCATATATCTTTAATGCTAGTGATGAGTATGATTTTGGACAGTTGAAGAATACGAAGGAGACTAAGTTACAGGAGACACCCTTATCAAGCAACAATAGGATAGAGACCGAAGAGGGTAACATTGGGAATCTTGTTACATTTTTTGTTTTATATGAACAGTGTGTTGTTTTGAAATATGGAACTGTATTGGAGATCATACATGTCATGGTCCCTAAAGTTGAACTGCATCACTATGTCGTGGTATTGGTGGCTGGAGGGGAAATGGTTGAAAGAAATGGGAGAGAACAAAAAAGATCTATACAACATGCTAAAGAGTATCTAGCAAAGGGAGACACAAGGTTTGTTTTTAAATATGAGGGAAAATTTATAAGTATTGGGAGAGTCTGGATGCTACTTACACATATTTACTTCTATCCACCTTGAGGACAAGGTGAATCTTTAGGGGTGGAGTATTGTTATGCACCCACTCTGGTCACCTTATTTTAGAGAAGGGGTAGTTTGGGGTAATCATCAAATAAAGAGCATCTTGTTGGTGCAGGGGTATTATGGGTATTTTATATTATTTAGTTGTTATGACTGATAGTATAAGAAGGTAGTAGGATAGGAAGTGAGACATCCATCTTTTCTGTTAAACCTGGAATGATTTCCTCTTAAGAGAGTAGCTATCTCGAATCAGCTAACCTATCCTTCGTTCTTGTAATCTTTTGGGTATTATACAGTCTTTCCAATCAATATTAGAATCATTTGGGTGGTTTGTATGTTAATGAATCTGTTATTACAAATCAGTTCATAACACAAGGAAAGGGATAAGGCTTATCTAAGGAAACATGCCTTATCCCTTTCCACAAGGGTGTGAGCCATTAGAGACATGAGACTTCTAGTGCTTGGTTTCTAAAGCTATATCAAGAAAGAATCATTGTTTATTTACTACAATAAACATAAGATAAGGTTTTTTTTTCTAATAACCTATTAGTTATTTCAAAAATAGTATTGTACTTTTAGGGTTCTTGATATTCAATAGTTGTTTGCAAATCATAGTGAGAACATAGATCCTTTAGGGTGCATGTGAACATACAGTTTATGTTTTTCTACCAATAAGATTTTTTTGTAACATATAAAACCCATCAATTTAATCATATTATATTCACAAAAGTTCAAATAAACCCTAAATATCATAGTCTTATAAATGTTCGAGAATGCTACACAACGCCTTCAACTTTATCTATGAGTACATGTCAAAACAATATGTTTTTAGGAAGCCTAGTGATTAATATCGGAATCCGACTATGGAATGGAGTTGGGTAATGACAATAACCCAAATCATAAGTCTAGATTCCCAAAACATATGAAAAATCATTTTCAAAATAGCAAATAATTTTTCTTAATCGTTTCTTTATATCACAAATCGTTTTCAAAACCAATTCTCATTCATAAATCACATGCAACTATCCAATCCTAATCCGTTTGTCTCAAATAATCCCCTCACATTTTAAGGGATAATGGTCTAAGGCTCTACTTGAATCGATGTTTCATGCTAATCTAATCTATTGCCATTAATTGAGCCAATGAATCAATTTATGACAATAAAGGTCATCTAAAAGTAATCACTCCTTTAGGTAAATTTTAGAGAGTCATGTGACCATTACCATAACCCTCATGTAATGGAGTTGCAAATTGTATCTATGCTTAAACCATTTTCTAAACCAATTCATTTAATTCATTTCAAACATATTCAAAATATATTTTCATACAATGCAAAACATTCCATAAGGCCAAATAACAAATGAGAGTACATATAAAAATACTCAAAACATTTCAAATATGGCGATAGGGGACATGTACTTTGGGTATGTACTCACCTTAGCCCAAAATCCTAACTTATGGTACCTTTTTTCTTCTTCAAGAATGGGTTGAAAACTCAAGTGTCACCTATAAGTATCAATATATGTGTCAAAATCCTATTAAATGTACTGTTAAGTCACTTGTTAAGATCTTAATTAGGAAAGTGAAGTTTTATGGTTTAAAAACATTCCTTATGTTAGAATATGAACATAAGAAAAAACCGTGCATGATTTTGAGTCCGTATGAAAAAAATATATGAGAAAAACATGTTTGGTGACATAAAGCATCCTAACTTGGCTCGTGTGGATTTTTTGCCTTGGAAATCACACAGTCTGTGTGATGCCCAACAAGTCAAAAACGACCAAAATTACACTTTTCGACATCCTACTTCCATCCCACTACATTCAAACATCCAACAAATTTCCTAAATTAGTTCAATAGATGTAATAACTCAAAGAAACTTATTTTAATTAGTGACTTAACGATTAAGACATTTTAAAGTCACAAGAGCTATAAGGAATCTCATGACCTTAATGTACCAACATTGCTCCATAAACTCTTAACGGCTTCCAACTTCACCTATAACTATTCCAAGTAACTAATAAGTTCTTAATGAACTTCCAACAAACTTTTACAGCTCTAACATTACTTATTTTACCATGGATTGGTCAATTCATTGATTTTAACTATTGGAATTAATAATTTTATAGTTGATACAACTCAAACTCCATTTTCTTTCAAAATCATTTTCAATCTAGTAAATCATTAATTTAACCACCATCTACATGATCTAATGCTTTAATCCATAGTACTTTCCATACTTAGCAAATTATCAAAGAAGTTACTTCCAAAATTTCATGGATTGCTATTGAAACCCTAAATCATGTTTAACATGAATGAATCTAATGAAATTCACGGTGATTAATAATAACGAGGTTTTTAAGCCGCACTTTGCGGCGGAAATTTAAACAATAATTTTATGATATAATATTTTTTTGATTTATTAAGACATATTATACTTAAAAATATTACATATTTATAAGTTGCATTTTTTTCCTATTAATTATTTAATTGTGAAACTCTAAAAGTGTTATGAGGTAGTTTGTTTTGCATGTGTTTTAATAGATTATGAGAATATTCTTCTAAATAGCACTAAAATTAACATAAAGTATAACCATTTGGAAAGCAATGATGTGTTTTTTGCAATTGATTCTATTTAACTAGAAGGGTTACCTGCGCCAGAGGGCGTAGAGGATTTTGTGGTTTATTGTTACGCGTTTATTTTAGGGTTGGGCACGGTATTGATGCAGAGGGGGCATGTCATTGCCTACGCTTCGAGGCAGCTCAAGCCTCACGAGGCGAACTACCCGACGCATGATTTGGAGTTGGGGGCGGTGGTTTTCGCCCTCAAGATTTGGCGGCATTACCTCTACGGGGTTCGGTGTACCATTTACACGGACCACAAGAGTTTGAGGTACCTCATGGATCAGCCGAATCTGAACACGAGGCAG